GTTCAGTTCTTTATTGAAGTTTGCCTCTGACAAGTAAACATGTATCAGTCTGTGTATCATACTGTTGAATGCTGTTAATCTGTGCTGATACGGGTGGGTAGACGAATTATGAATGATGTTTGTGAGTGCTGGTTTACGATATATTGAAAAATTATGTTTGTTGTTAACTTTTTATATTATCAAGTCCAAAAAATTTATAGCGTCATCCTTTTCCATCTCCATTGTGAATGTGATAGAAGGGTGGAGAGAATTGATGAAATAAAAAACTGTCTTTTCGTTCCTGTGAAACATACCAGGATATCATTCATATATCTATACCAATACACGAAACTTGTCGCCAATGGGTTACCGTGTATTTTTCTTTCCAAATCGCCCATGAAAATCTCTGCCAGAATGGGACTAAGTGGATTTTCCATTAGGAGACTTTTGCAGGATGAATAAAAAATTCCATTGAGTTGGGAGTGATTTTGTGACAAACAAACCGTAAGCAAGTCTAACATTTTCTTTTTCACTACCAGATTAATAAACCTTTTGTCCAATAGATTCTCTACAAGAGTAATCATTTCATTCGGAGTGTGTAAATGCACATTAAGAAAAACAAAGATAGAAGTTCAGTTTCAGAAAAACTAGGAGTGTTTAAATCAAAATGTGGATCATGTCCGATGTTTTATATAGATAGAACTGGAAGAACTTTCAAACCCCGTATGAAGGAACACAAAAATAGAAATATAGGTTCCAGAATGGAAACATGAATTCCACATATGCCATTCATTTAACCACAGAGTGACACGAGTTCAACCATGAATTCAAGCCCCCACATTTCCAGAAGGAATGTTTGAAAGTTAACCTGTTGGAGAGTATGAAAATAAACAAATTCAAAAATTCTTGAAACCTTATGAACAATCAAAATAAACTGAATAATACGCCATTATTGAATCTGTGTATTTTCAAGTAAGAATAGTTAAGTATATTTACAGTAGTCGAAAAATGTAATTTAATCATATAGTTAATGAATTCATACCTGACTTCTTCAGGTAGCATCATTCATGGGAAAGTAGGCATACGAGTAGGTAATATGTTAGAGCATAAAATAGTTGTAATTTGAAAGTAACTTTCAGTTTACGCTTGAGGAAGCTATTGTATAGCAAAACACGTGTCGCGGTTATTGTAAAACCCTTTACAGTGAAAATAATACAATAAACTGTATTATGCAGTATTGATATGGATTTACATCAAGAATCAATTGGAAAAAATTAATATTATATTTTACTTATGATGCACTGTTTGAAACCTTTGGTGTAGTAATGAATATCACTGAAGTTTTTTCCCCAACACCAAATCCTTATTTTCAACACCTCGACACGAAGATTGAAACTGTTTTAATCTTCCTCTTTGTAGATGATCACTTGGTGATCGAAACACGTGTCGAGGTGTTGAAAATAACGATTTGATATTGGGAAAAAACTCCAGTAATATTCATTATATTTCAGCTCTCTTGAGTTTCGGAAAACAATCTTTTTCCGTTTTCAAAACCTGAAATTCACTATAAAAATCTTGCCCCAAACTGTAATAGTTCTGATTTCTTTCGACTTGTGTTCTAAAATTTGTACACAATGATCGAATTGATCATTTCTCAATTTGTCTGTTCCACACTCTATGTAGTTCTTGACGTTATTTCTTTACATCACTTCAAAAAACGCAGGCCTATTCAAATTTTGAGTTCTGATGGGGCGAACCCAAAACTATAACCGTTATTGAATGAGAGTCAGTTCAGTTGAAGATATATTACTTATAACTAGTCACATAAACATCTTTTTTTATTTCAGTCTCATTTTTCACCATCATGCTAGGAGTAATTTTCACAAAACATAATACACATTCTAGTTTTTTGGTATGATCTAGAAGGTTATTCAATGAATTGAGAATCGAATGGTCAATAAGTCTTTTGTTTCAATAGAAACTGTTATAATCCAAGATAGGTCGAGAAAGAAGGCTGGACATGAACCTATCCATATCGGCCATGGTAGAAGAGAACCAAGCTGAAGGAAAAGTGATCTCTAAAACTTCAAAATTAAAAGACACAAATGTCAAGAGAAGTTGATTATTTTGAATTAATACTAGATCTCTGGCTGATCTGTATATGCGATAAAAGATAAAGAGAATGGGGGAAAAAGTATCTTGCTAACGAGATACACCTAAAGTAAAGTCCCATTTTACCGCCTGCTCTAGCAATTTCAATCTCTGAACCCATTTGATTAAAAAACATAGAAATTTTATCGATGAACACGTTTGTTTTTGTATATTTCATATATTTATATTTGGGAAAACCCAGTGTTCTGTTGTAATATACATAGGCGCATTTCTCTATTAGGTTTTTCTTTTAACTCCGTCCTTCTCTGATGATTTACAAATGTGTCTGTTATGGTTACGTTACTCTTATTCTAGGGTCCAGCAAAATTTTCTTTTGGATGATAAAATGCATCTTTGGGTTGGGAAGTAAGGAGACCATATTATATTTTTCCCTCTCCAAATAATATTGCAACGGGACTAACAGAAGAATAAATTGCAATTTTAGCATTATATCGAGTTGGTGAACTGGGCATAATAAGTGACAGAAGACTTGGAAGCTTTATTGATCTTATAAAGATCATATGTTAAGGGTTTGTCTTGAGTTTTAACTCTCATGACAGTATTTGGAGCAGTATTTATATTGTCGATTCTATATACTCTACATTTTTCTCTAAAGCTTTCATCAATGTTATTGAACTCCTATCTTCTAGTTGTAGCAGGCCCTCATCTTTTTTTCCCAAATTGATTCTCAAACAACCTCCTCATTGTCAAATTTCCATTTCAAGTATTGCAATTTTGAATATTTTGAGTGTATTGGAAGAGAGCATTTTCCTTTACCAAAATTATTTGATATTGTCATCTTCAATTGAACTCTGAATATTTATTGGCCGGTACATGGATACTATTCAGTTTTGGATGATTGAAAATGGAAATAAGTTAAGAGTTTTGAATTCTTCTACTATCGTTTCAGTTATCAGGCCACTTGAAACAATTTTTGTATCTACCCATCTGGTTTCAATATATCCAAGAACCCAATCATTGGGAACAAAGTATAATTGACTCCGATGGTGGTTCGTTTTATGGAAATAGAACCAGTGGTATTGGCAGAGATCCATCAGCAGATATATTGTGTAGCACTGTGATAAATTCATTTTTATCACTTGCTATTCTGTCATGAATTTTGTAGTTTTTTTTTCAACCAAAAAGCGATATCTGGGACATAAGAAAAATGCAATTTTGTCTTGGTTGAGGATACGAGAACCATCATCATGAAAAATATTATCTTTTTTCCAGTGAAATAATCTGCTACCTATTCCAATCATGATCACATCAATTATTCGATATTTTCCTTCCATAAACATGTTCCCAAATATAGAAAAATCCATCAATGAAATTGCTGAACTGGCATTTTCCACAAATGCAAAATATGGACGAATGTGAACATTGTAGTTCTTTTATTGACTTGGAGACACTTTGAAATAACTGTAGTTCAGGTGCTGTAAACCAAAGTACTCCAGGTAGGTGGATCCACAGGAATCTTTGGAATAGCATAAGTTTATGGAGTCTGTGTATTGTGGTCACTCCATTACCGGTAGCTTTCAAAGATTTCAACAGTTTTTCTGTGTAGTTGTCTTTTCTATCATGCGGAAATGACTGCACGATTCATCCTGGTCTGAAGAGTTTTCTTTGTATTAACAAACGAGATGAATCGCAGAGAGTATGTCTGTGTGTGTATAGGTTCGGATAGGTTTTCGCGATCAACAATTTGATGTACTGTCATCTCGATTGAACCACGTCTTGAAACTGAAATTACAGGACACGAAGATGAGGTTGTAATCTTCATGACTCCCAAGTCTCGCCACTGGCTTTTTTTCCTTTGTTCCCCTCCAAGTTGTTTGGGGCCACTATTCATGCTGCTGGACAGGTAAACGACCCAGGTGAAGCTCTCTGGCTTACAGAGACAGGCTTGTCTGGCCATCAGTGGTGTCCACAGTACCACACCGTCAGCGGCTACAAAGATCCTTCTAGATCCATCTCCTCTCCACATTCTTCTGACTTAATGCCTCCAACTGTCAACTACGAACTGCCTTATAAAGTACCGTTCCCGAGTAGAGAGGACTGGATACTCCGGAAGAAGGAAATATTGACAGCAGATAGTTGTAGGTTCACAGATGGATCAGAAACACCTTTCGGTGCAAGTGTTTTCAGTGGCAAACCGAAGACAGAGATATCAACCTGCCTAGGAACTTATTTCAAGCGAAAATTTACGCTATTCAATTGGTTGCGGAGAGATTGGAAGAATTCAACCTCATAAACAAGTCAATAAAAATATTTTCGGACAGTCAAGCAGCGGTGGAAGCTCTTGGCTCCTACCAAGCAACATCTAAATTGTTAGCAAATTGCCAAAAACGACTCTCCTCGATAGAAAGACTCATCAAATTGTCTCTGGTCTGGATTCCTGCTATACTGGCCTGGAAGGCAATGAGGCTGCTAACTCCCTTGCAGAAGAGGGCATCGATTTAGGCTTCACCAAACAAAGATTGGATACCTGGATGGCAAAAAGATTTATAGACTTCTAGCAGAATCTTCTAGGATTGGCTCACTTCAAGGTGTTTATTCGAAGCTTGATACTTAACAGTTGTTGAAATAAAGTAGGGATGAACTACGATGTCTAACACGCCTTCTTACAGGTCACTATTGTTTTAATCATTACATGCAGAGACTCAGATTGTCGGAAGACAGTTTGTGTCGCCTCTGTTTGGGAAATGATGAAACAGCAGGCACATACTTTGTGTTTGCCCCGCTGGGGACCAAATCAGGTTTTTAGAGTTTGACAGAGCCGTACTGTTACCATCCGACCTGAAAGACCACTCACCATACAAACTAATCGGCTTCATTAAGAAGATGGGTTTATTTGGTCTAGTATGAATAGGTGTGAGCCACGATAATCCCTTGCGGGTTGCGGTGGAGGATCGAATAGATCCACTCACTTTGGACCTAACCTGACCTGACCTAACAGGTACCCGACCTGCCGGAAATGGATTCAAGACTTTCTGTTTGACGTGAGTTACTTGGAGATGTGTGATGAGACAATAATGACCTCCATGATTGCGCAATCATGAAGCAGTGAAAAATCTGCTAGTAAGAACTGAAACTCAGTACTAGCAAAACATATACGTGTGCATCAATAACAGAAAAGAAAAAATCAGGGAAGAAAAGGAAAAATTTAAAACGGAAAACATGAAGAGAAGGCAGAGCAAGAGAGAGACAGATCAATAGAAAAAGTTCCGGAAGGAGAACAATATTGTTATACTTATAATAATGAAAACTCAGTGTTCAAAAAGTATGAATTCATTGATTCAATATATGAACAGAAAATGATTCGCAAACTGAAATTTCCCAAAAAAACTATCGAATCAGTCAGAAAAGAAACGAAGAATAAATGCAGTTGAACAAAATACCATCAAGAGTTTTGCATGTTAAAAACTGAGAGCCATTCCATCAGTAAGTAATCAGAAAGTAATTCAGAAAGTAATCGAATCCAAAATAAAGCTCATTTTGGAAACTATAAATCAGTAGAGATCACAATAATCTCCTTTTTTATTTTATAAGTTCACCTATGCTGTTTCTTTGAGATGAAGAAGACTACCTGATGAACTCGCAGATACAAATTAGTTTTCATTTCGAGCGAATCATTCGATAAAATAATAATTTGAATCTGAAATTCATTTAACTCTCACTCTCAAGTTGCAATTATTTTCTCTGTGGATGAAGTTTGAGCTAGATTTCCTTGAATGAACCAAAAGAATGTGAAATTTCATACCTTGTGGTCACTCAATATAGAATATGTGATAACGATTATTTATCTGGGAAAAACAGAGTCTATTTTTCAACAAATCAGAAATATATAGGTATATTTTGTGGAAATTACTCATTCACTTTTTCGTGCTGAATAATATCACCAAAATATCCATGCAACATAAAGAAGCTATTTTTCTTTGTGAGTAGCATGCCCATTAGCAGTGAAGTTTGGAGACCTCTCGCAGCAGTGATGATTCCCAAGTTGCTGCATCTCTGCTTGGATTACTTCAATATCTTCACCATGAACCAGTGTCCATTCCGTCCTACTGAAGAAAACATGCAATGTAAATGACATGCAATGATATGAATATATGATTTTACTTGAAATTCACTATGTAATATGAAACTCCCAACACTGTTTTTCAGAATGATAATGCTCTTTCTCCGAAGGGTTATCATCAGCATCAGTGGAAAAGTGAATGAATAAGTAAAGTAAAAAATAATTCTGTAGATATGTCCACTGCAAAAATTATACCTAGAAGAAATGTGAGACGCATTTTCTGATAATCCAATTTACTGGACAGTCTCAAATACGATAATAGAGTGTTTGTAAACACAAATCCTTGGTGGTATCGACTAATACAATACTGTGATATGAAAGTGTGTCCGTTATAAACAGATAGAGTGAAAGTTCATCGGATTGCTCTACCCATCCACATTTCTTTCAAAACAATGAAATGCTATTGATATCAAAAACTCTGTATATTTTTTGATAAATTTTGTCGACACTTGAGTGAAAGCACCAAAAAAGCTATATTATAGTGAAACATGTAGTTCCTGAGTCCTTTTAATAATATTGCTTCTCAAATTTTTACATTTCGGAATTTGCTCGAATGTTATGTATTGATCCAGAAAAAAATACTACTTCATAGAGTCTATTAGAAATTTCACGAAACACCAAACGTAACGAATGAATATAATATTTATATATTTCTGAGAAGATAGTTCTCTAAGAGCAACAATGTGAAGTTATATGAAGTTGTTGAACTGATGAAACTCTCCTTTGATCACCAGATGATACTTTGAAAGTTATTTCAGTTAGAATCACATGCTTCATTTCAAATTTCTCAATTTGGAAATCTCTGTTATTGTTATCGTTATCGAATCTATAATAGTCAACCATGATGAACAGTGTTTTGTTTTTATAGAAATTAGTGATGAGAATGGTCATATGTACATGCGATACCCCAACCCAAACTTTCAAGTACAAAAACATGTTCTGGAAAGTGAATATTCATATTATGAAGGTTATTGGAATCGATTTTACGAACGATCGATCATGATATTTGATATATTTTTTAAATTGATTTTTAATAATTTGTGTTTCAATTTGCGACACTTTCTAGAACATCATATTTGTAATGAATCAGGTAATGCATGAAAGATATCAATATCCAGAAATATCGCCATCCAGACCACTTACCGTATACTTTCTGTTCTTGAACGGGGTGACCAGTCTTTGCTTCTACTTCCAGATCGCATTCGTGGACCCAAGGATCTACTGGTTTTCCAGTTATCGAAGTGATGACGAACGGTGTTTTGAACTTCAGTATTCAGGAAACAATAGAAAAGCGCCACTGTGAAGCCCTGGAAACAAAAAGACACCAAACAATAATACAACGTTATGCGCCATAAAGGATTTCCACTGTCAACTGTTAGAAGTACCCAATGACTTTTAAGATGGATACACTATCTACCATGGTGTTTTCACAAGTCTAATTCAAAGGGAAAAAGCATAAAAACCTTTATATAATACTCAGTAGGTACTCACTCTACAAAGTTACACTCTACACTTATGTCTCTGATAATTGGCATCCAAATAGATTCGTTAGCTGACTATCAAAAGTAGTTGTATGTGAATCCATTATTTTCCCAAATGCATCAATTCAATAAAACTACTCTTCTTTTACAACTGTTAGAGAAACTTGACATTTCTCCATCTATATTGATGTGTGAATGTTTGATTTTTCACCCCCCAAATAATTCACAAAATTACCATGAAATATTACTTTTTGAAGGATTTATTTTCAACAGAGTCAATTATTAATTGATTTATTGGAAAGTTTGAATAATTACTTTCAGCATACAGCATTCAGCCATTACAGTTGATTTCACATTTTCATCAGATATTTTGATTTGCTTGGAAGAAGATGAACAATTTAATATTTTGTTGAAAACCTCAATTTCATCATTCAAACTGTCTACTTTATATGCTCCTGCTAAGGAGGCGAATTTCTAGTCATCGTGACGTTTTATGAATATAATGTTGCCCCTACATTAGCCAGAAGAGTTACGGAGCTTCTCCCGAAACGATGATTTGTGTGGCTCTCATACATGTCTTTTCCATGCTATTTTGCAATCAAGCTAGTGATTTCGCATCTTTTATACATCTCCCCATGTTGGTTAATGAATTTCGCTCTCGAATATTTCAAAAATTATTTGTTACTTTGTGTATTAGGCGGGCGTAGGGCTATACCTACGGTATATCTCAATATAATCAAAATTCAAAATATTAAGCGTACTTGCACAATAGGTTTTTGTATCAGGTAGTTTGATAATTGATATAGATCCAGCATATCCAATGGCATCAATAGTTATTTGTAATGATTCGTCACGGCGACAAGCACCGCTGAAACCCAAAATTAGGAAAACCCACAAATGGAAAATATTATTGTTAAATGTTAAAAAAAATATGTTTCTTCGATAACTAGTTTTCGCATCCCTACGAATGACAACTCTCAAAACTCGAAACTTGTGCGAGCTAAGAACTAACGAGGTCTTATCTTCTAACATGTGATTCCTAACACGAATTGGATGATAGCAACTGAAAATGGAACCACAGTCCGTCGTGTATTTCTGATATAAAAGGTGACAAACTATAGCTGCTCATCTTTTGAGGTACAACTCATTACAACTCGAACTCCACTGTTTACGAACACTTTTATTTGGAGAACTGCGTTTGTGTGGAATAAACTTTCTGAAAAGTTTTTTCGAATGAATTGAATCTCCAGAGATTCAAATCCAACGTGAATCGCTACTTTCTCACAGGCTCCGTTCTTAGAGCGGTTTATATCAGTTTACATCAAATGTTCCAAGGCACTTGAACACTTCCATGAAAGTATTTATAGAAGAAAGGAAAATCGCCAACCTTTTCCGATTTTCCAGAGTATCAAGGTTTCAAGTGATGTTCGCGTCTCCAATTACGCGGACGGCTGTTTCCTGGATGGAATTGAGCAGCTTCAGGGTATGTTTAGGGTCTGAGCTCCATACATGAGATCAATACTCCAAAGAAGGTCTGATCTGAGCTTTATAAAACAACACAAATTGCTGAGGTGTCTACAGTTTTCTGGCTCGGAACAGTGTTTCAAGCTTCAAGACAAATCTCAATTTTTTTTTCGATATTCGAGACTATCAAGGTTGCAAGTGATGTTAGCGCCCTAATCAGGCGGATGGTTGTTTCCTGGATGAAATCCAATAGCTTCAGGGTATGCGTAGGGGCGGAGCTCCATACTTGAGAACAATACTACAATGAAGGTCTGATCTGAGCTTAATAAAGCATCAAACATTTCTGAGGTGTGTATAGTTTCCTGGTTCGGAACAGTTCCTCAAACTTTTGAGAAGCAGCCTTTGCAATTTCAGCGACATGATTGTGCCAAGACATATTGGTGTCCATTTTATATCCGATTCGGATACATTTATCATTTTGGAGAAAACCGACTTCAACTTCAAAGAAGGTCTGATCTGAGCTTTATGAAGCATCAAAAATTGCAGATTTGTGTACAGTTTTCCGTTTCAGAACAGTTTTCCAAGCTTTTGAAAAGCAGACTTTGCAATTTCAGCAACATAATTGTGCCAAGACATATTGGTGTCCATTTTAACCCCCGAAAAACTTATCGAAACAAAAAGCGGAATTATCTGCTCTGACAGTAGTAGGTATATCCGGATCTGAATTATCATTTTGGAGAAAATCGATGCCTGGGTTTTTGTGGCATTGAATTGAATTGAATCTGGTTATTCTCACCCCAATCCGAAATCACTGCTAGATCCTCATTAAGATATGGAACATCCTACTCCGGTGAAGATGTGCGTTCACAGCCGATGTCTTGAAATCCAAATGGAATGATGAGACAAGTGTGCTGTCGTCAACAGAGCAATATATCGAATTCTTAATTTTTTTCAATGAGTCGTTGATACACAATAAAGAGAGGGTGATGGTGCAGGAAGGTGGAAGAAGCTGGAGAGTCATACACAAAAATGATCTGACAAGCCTCATGCCACAACATACGGTCAAAGGCCTTCACAGTTTGCGTTATTCCAAATATGGGTGAAATACAATGGAAGGTGTTAGGAATCACACGTAAGAATTCGTTAATCCCTAGCTCGCACAAGTTTTGACTCCTGAGTATTGTCGTTCGTAGGGGTGCGACAGCTGTTTAACGGAAAAACTGATTTTAAACAGACAGGTCGCCTCTTGATCTTTGTTTCCGAAAACCATATTGATGATCGCTCAAGATGTTAAAGCCTCCTAAATAGTTAGGGATATTGTAGTTTAGGGCTTTCTCCGTGATTTTTTATATCACTGATAGCAAAGCGACAGGTCTACAGTTATTTGGAAGATTTTTATTGCCCTTCTTGGGAATATGCTGAACGCGACCAATCTTCCAACAAAAAGTAAAAAAAACCCTTTCTTGTAAGACAGGTTGAAAAATTTGCAAAATACTGGTGCGGGTTCATTTCTGCAATTTTCAAGTACGATAACGGACACTTCATCAGGACCAGACGCCTTATTGATATTGAGCTGTTTCAAAATTCGAATGACTAGACGTTGTCGAGAAGTGGGTGGACCTTTTCCCAGAAAATCGACTGTGGAGTGGCACCCAAATTGTTCAACTAGTAGATTTGCTATTTCTATGGCCGTTGTTGCCATTGAACCATCCGCTTGTGTAAGTGGTGAAATTGTGGATTTTGTACAGTTTTCATTAACAGTCTCACCTTTATAGGAAGAATAGGTACTACACCTTCCAGATATACCTCAGTACGCTATTAACACTAACTAAATACACATCACGTTCTCCTTAAGCAACCATGATACGATATCGAAAACAAATTATGAATTGAGAAGCTGAAAGTAACTCAGTTCACATCCAAAGGAAGAGTTATCATTCGTTCACATACCGATGATTTACCGAATGCAGACAAAGAATGAAACGCATGAGTTTCTTTCCCACAAACAAAACTGGGTCTGTTACATTTTGCAACGTGAAATCCTCCGCGATTACAGAAGCTTCGTTCAGACAAACTAACGAGTATATTCAGCTAATGGTTTCTTTTGTTCGGGAAACAATAGGACACCTCTGAGAATCCCTTTAATAATGTATGATGTGATTTATGTTGGTTGGGTTCAGTCATTATAAGTAAAAAAAACGATCAATTTGTCATGTTGCAGGAGTTGTTTCATTGATTAATGATATGGAATGAACCGAGTAATAAAAGTGATGTTTGAATTTCTATGCACAGATTATGTTGTGTAGCTTTCCTTTCAATGATATCTGTCACAATTCCATTTTAAATATCTGTAGTAGGTACTAACTGAATGGGAAAACCTGATTTTTGAGTGAGTCCATGTTGATATACTTGAGAGTAGTTGTTGAAAAGATATTTTCATTGAAGTTGAATCTGTTTTTCGGTTGATCAGTTTTCATCTCCCCACGAACGGAAACCCTCAAAACCAGAAACTTGTACGAACTGAAGTTCAACGACATCTTGAATCCAACGTGTGATTCCAAGTACGAATACTTTTTTCTCTTCGAAGATTTCAATATATAGATGGGGGAGTGGAGAGCGAGAGAGCTACAGCTCTTCTAAAATAAATATTTCCCTTTCATGGTAGGAAAAAAATAATGTATCACTTATAATATATCGTCTCGTGAAATGGACTAAAAAAAAGGGATATTATTTGATGCTATTGAAAGCGGAAAGAAACACAAAAAACTGTTCTTAAAGTGAAATTATAATATTCTCAAGAGTGGTGTTTTTTTATATATAATTACATTTTACTATGTTACTCTATGGAAAAATGGTTGTGTAACCGCTTCTTCTGACTATCTACATGAAAAACGTACTTTTTGTCACAAAGGGAGAATGAATGGAGGAAAACTGAACTGAAAAGTAGGGAAAGATATCATCAAAAAAGGTTGCATGACAATTTAGGAAGGGAATGAAGTGAATGTTGTTGAATGAAAAAAAAATATTGAGCTATTTATTCAACGACTTTATCAAATTGTTATAGCAGCAACAAAAAATGTTTTCTATCGATTCATTCATTTCAAACGAATAATTCAAAATAAATTTAAAGGATTCGATTCCAAATGAACAAAAATATTGGGTAACTTTCATTAAAGCGTATACATTTATTAGCAACAAACGTGGCTGTCGCTTCCATACGAACGACAACTCTCAAAAGTCAAAACTTGTGCGAGCTAAGGACTAACAAGGTCTTACCTTTCATCGTGTGATTCCTAACAAGTTGTAAGTAACATGAATTGTTCACAAGACTATTAAATTTGATGAATTGTTTTAAGTATTCAGATTATACGGAAAAGTAGAAACTAGTGGAAAGAAGTGGGATATTTCTGTTACATAATACCCATCAATGATTATGCACACAGTTTTAGAACTGGTTTATACATTACGTGGTTCTATTCGATTCTACTCGTTTTCGGTTCTTCTTCTTTCGATGCCTTCAACAGTGATTCAGACTAGAATAGAAACCATACGGCACCGAATACTCTTTCGATACGAATAGCTTTCAAGAAATTTGTTTGACGTCCAAAGTCGTGGCCAGGAGGAGAAAGGCCATAAAGGCAATTCATATAAAATATTTACTCTTCAGTTTCTGTTTGAACCCTATCATTCAACCTGATCATTTATTTCATTGAATTTTTTTCAGAACTGTCAGTATTTTATGAAGTTAACGTTTAGTGTATTTGCTGATTTTTGCTGAACACTCTGAGTCACACAAAATATGTGAAAAATCTATAGTCTAAGATCCCAGTATAAAACGACCTTCACCGAACTGATTAATGGATGGAAAGTATTTTATATCAAATCAAATATGTCAATAAATATATTGCAACATATGTATTGACTTATACGTGAAACATATTATCACGATGTGTCATGACTATAGAGAGGTGGGTTACCAAAAGGGCTACACGAAGAACTCAGTGATGCCTTGAATACGGATAACTTCAAGACTTCACTAAAGTTTCTGATATTTATAAATATTGTACATTTAATATGTTTGTGATATGACTCAATTTCAAGAAATTTGTTTGACGTTCAAACTCGTGGCCAGGAGGAGAAAGGCCATGAAGGCAATTCATATAAAATATGTATTGTTCAGTTTCTGTTTGAACCCTATTATTCAACCTGGTCATCTATTTCATTGAAATTTTTTCAGAACTGTCAGTTCTGTCAGTTCATAAAATAAACGTTTAGTGTATTTGCTGATTTCTGCTGAACACTCTGAGTCACACAAAATATGTGAAAAATCAATAGTCTAAGATCCCAGTATAAAACGACATTCACAGAGCTGATTAATGGATGGAAAGTATTTTATATCAAATCAAATATGTCAATAAATATATTGAAACATATGTATTGAGTTATACGTGAAACATATTATCACGATGTGTCATGACTATAGAGAGGTGGGTTACCAAAAGGGCTACACGAAGATTTCAGTGATGCCTTGAATACGGATAACTTCAAGACTTCACTAAAGTTTCTGATATTTATAAATATTGTATATTTAATATGTTTGTGATATGACTCATATTGTACCACAACGCCATTAACCTTCGTAGTTGATGTGGTTATATGATTTTCACTTTTTTTAATCTTTCACGTACATCATTTTTTTAAGGACAAACAACAAGCACAACAGGGTTGTCCTGTAGAAGAATTGAAAAAACGTGCAACTATTTATTGTTATTGAAAAATGACAAAAAAGTGTTTTTGTTTTATTCGGACGATTTCAATGATGAAACTTTCAAAAACTGTTCATTAAAGTTTTGGTAAAATGAAAAACTTTAAATACAATGTTGTTGAGCTAACAAGTGCCTCACAAAAACCGATGGAGAAGAATGTTCTGAAGTCATGTCTCATGACTCGAATGCTGAAAAATTTGTTGATTTATAAACTTGTGTATTCATATTTCATTACGATAAAAAATTTCTATGAAACATAACATCCTTATCGTATATATATTTTGGGCAAAAAATCTAAGAGAAATTTTTTGTTTGGAATGAAACAGGCTATCGGAAATGAATTTTGAAATGGTAAGCAAATAATAAGATGAAAAGTTACATTGTAAATAAATTTTAGGGTTTGCGTTTTCCACCCCTTACAACCATGGGGTAAACCAAATAAATTTCTGGCTAAGTGTCTTTTTGGTAGTACAAAACGTCAGGTTAATTGTAACTTTTTTAGTGCTTGTGAAAAAAATTGTTATACAAATTTTATGTACCCCCTTCAAGGGGCTGTATCTTAACAAGGGATGCTCCAATGAAATTTCTTTATATGAAAGATCCTATCTCTTTTTCGATGAGGAATCACCTCCTTAAATGTTTTACACTTATTCAGTTACACCCTGTATAATTGTTATATGAAATATATTGTACCACACCGCCATTAACCTTCGTAGTTGATGTGGTCATATTACATGAAAGAAAAAAAGGTGAAAAACAAACACAAGCACTACAGGAAACCTTTAAGGTGCTCACAGAGTGGTGCCTGTGCAAAACTAGCGATCCAAATTTAATTTGAATCGATTGAGGATAAATACATTTGGAAAAACTTTCCCAGGAAGTTTATTCCACATAAACGTACTTCTCCAAATGAAAGAGTCCACAAATAGTGAAGTGAAACTCAAAACGAGGAGCAGTCACAGTCCGTCTCGTATTTCTAATATATACCGCTCTTAGTGGAATCAAATGTGCCAAGTCACTTGAACACTTTTCCTGAAAGTATCTATAAAAGAGAAACAAATCTTAGGGGTGGAACTCCATACAATATTCCAAAGAAGGTCTGATCTGAGCTTTATAAAGCATTAAAAGTTGCTGAGCTGTGTACAATTTTCTGGTTCGGAACGGTGTTCCAAGCTTTTGAGAAGCAGCCTTTGCAATTCCAGCGACATGATTTTGCCAAGACTATTGGTGTTCATTTTAACCCCCAACAAACTCATCGAAGCAGAAAACTTATAATTCCGCTTTTTGACATTATTGCTAGAAACCTGCTCATATTGCTCGAAATTTTTCAAAATTTCCTACTCTTCACAATGAAAATTTCAAGAACCCAATAGTTTCAAATTCTACAATCAATCCTTCCTATACAATGAAAGCGATTTCAGATTTTGACAAGGTGAAAGTTACGCTGATTAATTAAAATCAGAAATCAATTTCCATATAATTGAATTCGGAAAGTTTGTTTCCAACCACTGAAACTTAACGAATGAGAGCAAACTGAAATCGAAATCCCATCTCGTTCGATCTGCTCTTCCGAATGTAGTAGGTCGAGATAAGAAAGATATACCAATTAAGTTCGTAAGATCTGGGGGATTTATTCATAACGTTGTAATCCCTACATTAATCCACTAAAATTAAATATTCAGCCCTGTATTGTTGTTGCCGAGTTCCCCTTGGCTTAGATAATTAACCTGAAACGGTTCACATTCTTTATATTGAAGTTACTTGGCGGAGAGAACATTTTCATTAAATAAAATAAACCAAAACAGCATGCTTAATTTTCCTCAGGAGAATAAAGAAAAACAACCTTTCATTTCGAAAACGCAATAAGTCAGCCTTTGTGTTCCCTTTCAGTATTCATAGTAAGTGAAAACATTTTTTCACAAAACATTTCAGTGAGGAACACGATAACACATTCAAAAATATCTGATAACTTGGATGAGATTTTTGAAAAAACAAGAAACTGATGGAATTTTAAAAACCATCAATTAAAATAATAAACAAATAAAAACAATGAATCATTCATTTGAGAGTGGTTGACAATGTTTCTTGGTGAATGATGGAAGTTTGATTGATAAATTCATGAAATGTGAAATTTTTCCAAAATAGCAAATATTACCAGGCTGAAATATTTGAATGAGTCAGTGTTAGTGGTTTCTATATGTTGCGTATCTCCATACAAGCCTAACTGGATACGTTGTTCAAAATGTTCGCAACTACTTTGAATTTTCTCCAAAACCAGAATTTTTTTCTGTATATGATTTCAGTTTCGGACCAACTTGTCCAAACATGATTTGCTTTTCGCGATCAACTGATTTTTACGTGCATACGTATATTTTATTGTGCATACTTTCAACAGCCTCTTGGTTTCACCGATATAGGATCCAGGATCTTTAATGCACTTGCTCGACAAGAAAAAACCGAATAGCTGATAGAGTTCAAGGACATATCAAAGAGTGCATAAGAGACAAAATGAAAATTGTTCACCTTATTTTTTGAACAGATACCTTAATCAAATATGTTTTCCATAGACGTAAAGTTTGATGATATATCGTCAGCCTAATTGCAAAACTACAATAAAATTCAAATCAGTCAATGAAACAATGATGTTGAAAAACTAAATGTATCTGAATGAGATTATCATTCTGAAATTTCACATACAAAAAACCGTAAACTTACCTGTGTAGATATAAGAAAGGCTCTGATCCACTCGAAAACATTGATGGAAGATGCCTTTGTTACGGGGGCGTAAATGGTAATGACATAAGTGATTCCTAGGAGTGGCATAAGTACTAGAAGAGCTTTGGCTGCTTTGTGGTACTGCTGTGTCTCCAAGGTATTAGCAGATCGTAGTTTGGTGATGAGTACCCACATTATACATATGAGGAAGCCAAGATTGAGGAGGAGGACTATAACTGTAGGTGCCTGGAAGATCCAATCGATGGGGTGATAGATGAACCATCGACACTGGAAAAACTGGGTAATTACGCATTCATCAACTTATGTTCTAATGTCTTTTTTACTCAGTCAACATTTCATATAAACCTGGCTATATTGTTGAAAAATATTTTTTTGAGAATAATATTTGGATATCAGAATCGTTCTCAATATAGAAACAATAATCAGAAATACAGCAGTTTTTCCAAGAATTTCCATATGGAAGACATTGTTTTTTGTTTTGTAAATATTTTACTAGTATTATGAAAATCTTGAGCATTCCTGCTAGATAATTTTCATTACAGTAAACTGTATCCGTATGTTTTTCCCATGAATAACATCAATGCCATATGTCGTATTCATTGCAAGTTCCTCTGACTAGAGTTACATTGGACAAACCAACAGGTATTTGAAAACAAAGGAATAACTTGAATATTATTGAATCAAACAGGGAATATCGTGAAGGGAGATTTTGAAAAAAAATCTTTTTTACTTTCTACTTTTCCTTGATCGAATGAAAAAATTGAAACTTCCGAAGGGGTAATGACATGAAATTACTTCAAAAAAACCATTGACACAAATGTGCAGATCGTAAATACAATTTTTGCTGAAATAACTACTTTCAAACGCGAACATTGAATTTAACGGATAACACTTTTATCTGATCAGTTATTACTCCAAATATATTCACAGGAACATTTCATCACGTAGTGTTTCGAAAAAATGATTCAAAATGTCATTCAGATGAAGAATATTCAATTTCTGAAGTACTCAAAAGTTTTATCCCTTCATCAGCATCATTTTAAATAACATCAAAAGACAATGCACTAATTTCTTTCATATCATAATGATTGTTATATTTCATTCAACGGGTATATATAACGACATTGTATTATACAATGTACATGTTTTGAAAGTGATTATTTTGGTGGGATTTTTTTGTTGTAATTGATGGTGGAGTAAAAACCTGGAAAACAAACTTCTCGATAACTATTCTCTACTAAATGTATCCTCTTCTCAATTCAAATGATATTAATTGAATAAAACAGCCCGATACTTGTGAAAATCCATATTAAAAACTAATTAATACAGTTAAATGTATGAATTCCACTATAAAGGGTTTTACCAAAACCGCACGTGTTTTGCTATACAATAGCTTCCTCAAGCATAAACTGAAAGTTACTTCTAAATTGCAACCACTTTATACTCTAACCTATTACACACTCATCTGCCTAATGAATAAATCTACTTGAAAAGGTCAGGTATGAATTCTTTAACTATATCAATGAATTTTTCGAAAGTATGCCTGTAAATATATCTAACTATTTTTACCTGGAAATGAACAGAGTCAATAATGGCGAATTATTCAATTCAGTTTGATCGTTCATAAGATATTGAGTGTTTTATAATTTGTTAATTTCCATACTCTCTAACAGGTTCAGTTTCAAACCTTTCTTCCGGAAATGAAGGGGCTTGTATTCATGGTTGAACACATGTCCTTCTGTGATTAAATGAGTTGCATGTGTGGAATTTATTTTTGCATTCTGAAATCTATATTTGTGTTCCTTTATGCGAGCTTTGAATGCTGTTCCAGTTTGACCTATATAAAACATCGGACATGACCCACACGATAATTTATACACTCCTGATTTTTTTTAAACTGAACTTTTAACTTTGTTATTCTTAATGTGCATGCCTGAGTTGTTGTTGGTTTTGAAAGCAGTCGCCCTTTTCCATCTCCATTGTAAATATATTAGCAGGATGGAAAGAACTGATGAAATTCAATAAGTTAGTCAACTGTCTGTTCGTTCGTGTGAAACATACCAGGATACCATCTACATATCTATACCAGTGGGTTATTGTGAATTTTTCTCTCCAAATCGTCGATGAAAATATCTGCTAGAATAGGACTAAGTAGGTTTCCCATTATGAGACCTTTGCAGGATGAGTAAAAAGTTGCATTGAATTGGAAGTAATTCTGTGACAAATACACCCTAAGCAAGTCTAATATTTTATTTTCACTACCAGATTGATAGAGTTTTCGTCCAATAGATTATCTACCAGAGTAATCGTTTCATTCGGAGCAATACTGGGAAATACATTTTTTACATCAAATGAAATCAATTTGGCATTATCCGGGAGTGTAATATATTGAATTTCATTGATCAAATGGTATACATTTTTGAAACAGAATTTTGATTTGTCATTGGTGTGGTTTTGAGTAATTGCAATGAGTTGTTCGGATATTTCAACTGAATAAGCTGTGACGAAAGAAACTACCGGCCTTATCGGGTAGCTATTTTTGTGTAATTTAACCAACAAATACAATTTAGGTGGTTGTGGGTTCATGACAAACGACCTAAATTTTTCCGTTGCATCCTTGACACAATGAATATTTCTCAAAGTTTCCTTGACTTCTTTCTGATATAAATGGGTGGGGTCGTGAGAAATCGTACATGCCAGCATTTAAAAAGTCAAAAGTCTTCTTCCACGTATTCTTCTTTGTTCATGGCTATGACCGTTTGACGTGAAATCCATAAAAGAGAAATTGGCAGAAGATAATACTGTTTTTACGCGAGCTGATAAATTTGTTACCCAGTTTTGGACTCAGTTCGAATGTGGAGTGGCCTACCCGATTAAATGATAACTCCTTCAGTATCACTGACCACATTTTCACTAATATTCCAGAACCAACCATATATGTTTTGGATAATTATGTCTCAGATCATAGAATTATACTCCTTGAAACTAATCTGATTGAAAAACCAGCTCAATCTCAAAAAAGTTTTTTTCAAAAGGTCGTACAATTTAAATAAACAAACAAATTTTCTGTCAGTTCTCCAAGAAAGAAACTGAAAGATTGTTTTAGAGAAACCCTAATAATAATCATTCATTTGAGAGTGGTTGACAATGTTTCTTGGTGAATGATGGAAGTTTGATTGATAAATTCATGAAATGTGAAATTTTTCCAAAATAGCAAATATTACCAGGCTGAAATATTTGAATGAGTCAGTGTTAGTGGTTTCTATATGTTGCGTAATTCTGTATATGAAAGATTCTATCTTTTTTTCGATGAAGATTCACCTCCCTAAATGTTTAACACTTTTTTAGTTACATCCTGTATAATTCAAATATCCGAACATTCCTACTTTGGTACGTTCAATTATCTATTGAATGTCATAAAAGTATGTTAAAAATTAGCTGTTCAGGAATGATAGCTAGAAACATAAGTTGAAATTGGAAAGTCAGAAATAGAAGTCTCCATTGAACTTTGCGGGGAAATGGCACAACACGACGTCTGTTCTTGAGTGAGAGATGTTAAGCGATGCAGTGTACCGCAATTTCAAAAACAAATCTTCCACGGATTAAGTCGTTCTACAAGACGTCAGATTAGTTGAATTAATATTTCAAAAGCAGCACTTGAATCTGAATATTAAATTTTTCAACGTCACACGAGATATTAGAATGAGTTTTCCAGTGAATTAATCTGTTTTTCGGGAAAGTTTTCATTCCAACACAGACAAATGGGTGTATTTAGCGTAAAAATAAAACGAATGGAGGGTATGTAGAATATTATATATTTATTAAAAGCACCATTTCTCACACCATAGATTGTTTTATAAATGACTACTCTCATTGGAGACCATTTTTCGAGATATTTCGACTATTGACAAAGAGGAGAGATTCAAAGAAACAGTCGATTTCAACTGTAGAATATTTTGAACTAAAAAAAAACAATTTTTTTGCCTACTCACGATTTTTCATCATTTGTCAATTTGAATATGATCACAATAAATACTCTGTGATAACTATCGACCAATCTACAATTTATCTGAAGTATTGAAAAAATGTATCGAAAATAGACTGAATTAGAAATCCAATATTATTTTTACAATTCAGATTGAGAAGCATCGACAATGCAATATTTCAAATAATTCACAAAATAAGTCACAAAATCAGGTTTCGACTTACAAAGAGTAATTTATACTGTTTGTTGCAATAACTTCAGAATTATAGTTCAATTCATTTATTTTTTCTTTC